GATCTGAGTGCTTTTTAGATATGTTCATGTATTTTTGGGGGTATATAAAAGATATCTGTGTAAGTTTCTGTATTTGAGAGATAATTGAGTTATGCTAATTGGAGCTCAATTATCTCTCATAACACATAGGCTCTTGGGAAAGAAAACTTTGTATTTTTGACTTGGAAACCCCATTCTAGGGGCAATGCATAAAAGCCGTGTGTGGCAGAAATAAAGTCTGTTGTACTCCCAGAACTGTGTGTCGTCCAGTTGCTGGGGACGAGGTGGGCTATTTACTTGGTCTTTTCTTGTTCCTGATTCTACTTTTGGTCATCCAGCGAAGAAAAGTCCCTACCAGGACTAGGGCTCTGTTACAATACTGACAGACTGACAGATACATACACTCAGTGACTCATACATACTGACTCATGCAGTCCTACCTTCAGGTTTATGCACTTGCAGCTTCAGACATGCCAGTCTGGTCAGGCAGTCCCCTTCTCTCTATCTTTAGCTCCCGGTGGCAGATAGCATCCATGTGTACTGAGAGAAGCAGAAAGGCCTTCTACTGCTCCTCACTCCTCTCTGTTGCTGGTGGCTCTCCTGAAAATGGGCCCAAAGCTGAGCTCCCCCTTGCGCGGCTTCTATAGAGCACATGGAGGAAGTGACATGTGTGATATCATTTCCTCGTAGTGTTGCCACATATGGGGAAACAAGTCAACCTAGTGAGGGACTGCTGATGATGGGCCCTGCCCTGCTGCTGCCCTCCTGCACGATTCTGTATTTAAACTGTGAGGAAGTGCTGAACCTTTGTATTTGATGTAATTAAAAAGCATGGTAAGCTGATAAGTTAGATGTGTTCCAAGACGCATATTATAGTAATTGGAAAGGACGTCAGGACCAGGGGCCTTGTGTTTGGGTAAAGACAGAATTGCCTTGAGAAAAAAAAGGCCAAGACATAGAAACAAGAAAAATAAAGTATATACAACTAACAAGAGTGTTTTCCACTAAAACTAGTGTCCTTAGTGATACGATGTGAAAGAAGCAAAAACATCATAAGTAATGAAGCATATTTTATACGCTAAAATACAGAAAAGGCCTTGAGTAATATCTTGGGGAGAATAAGTTATTGCAAAGACCTATATTATGAGAAACAGTTGTTGCATTATGCATATACCACAGGTGCGTAACAGTAAAAATGAACCTATCTAGGCAAATAACCAATAACTTTAACAGAGGCGTCAGAGGCCTGTAAGACAGAATAAATCCACAGGATTCTCAGATATATATGATGTTTTAGGGTATGTATCATCATAGGTGTGCGCACCGGGTGTGCCTGGGCACACCCTATTCCCCATGGCCCACCTATTGATTGAGACCAGCAGGGGAGATCTCAGGATCTCCCCTGTTGGCTCATGCAGAGTCGGCGCTATCCAAGCACTGGCTCTGCTTTTAGCCTCCATGGGCCGGTGGGGAGATCAAAGATCTCCCTCACCGGCCCACAGCAGCATGGAGGGAGGCAGGAGAGGACCCGGGGAGCTCTTGCCAGCAGCTCTGCCGGGTTCCTCTTGTGAAATCTGAGTATTGCCGCGGCAACGCTCAGATCTCGCGAGAGGGAACTCTAGCCCCGCAGGCTAGAGTTCACTCTCCACTGGACCACCAGGGAAGGCAGCAAGGAAGGATCCCCCCTCCCACCCTCACAAACACACAGCACCCTAACAGCACCCTCACACACACTCACACACAAAAAGCACCCTCACAAAAAGCACACTAACAGCACCCTCACACAGACACGTCACACAAACAGCAGCCTCACACACACAGCACACGAACAGGACCCTAACAAACACACACACACAGCACACTAACAGCACCCTTACAAACATGCACACTACCAACACCCTTACACACACACACACAGCACACTAACAGCACACACACAGCAGTGTATGTATGTGTGTTTTTGTGTGTGTATGTATGTATATATATATGTATGTGTGTGTGTGTGTGTGTGTGTGTGTATATATATGTATGTATGTATGTATATATATATATGTGTGTGTGTGTGTGTGTGTGTGTGTGTGTATATGTGTGTGTATATATATATATGTGTATATATATATATATATACATACATACATACATACATACATACATACATACATACATACATACATACATACACGCGGCGTGTGTTTGTGCTTTAGGGTGCACACCTTAATTCAATAGGCTGTGCATGCCTATGTCTGTCAGCACTGGTGACTTCTCCTCCATCGACGCCAGCTTCCGAGTGGAGCAGAATGCGCATTCAAACCCGCCCATAGGAAAGCATGCTGTGGTAATCTCTCGCATGGATTACTGTAATTCTCTCCTAGTTGGTCTCCCCAGAAGCCAAACTGCCCCTCTACAATCAGTAATGAATGCTGCCGCCAGGCTGACCTTTCTCTCCGGATGCTTCTTCATACCTCTGCCCTCTGTTGATCCTTACACTGGCTTCCTGTATCCTACAGGTACAGGTCAATGCAAAATACTAACCCTTACCTATAAAGCTTTAAACAACTCGAGCCCCTATAAACATTTCTTTACTGACTGGTAGGTATGCCCCCTCTCGGTCTCTTCTCTCTGCCGGTGACCTTCTCCTGTCCGCTACTCTCACCCTTACTGCAATTGCATGACTGCTGACCCAACCAGTTCCCAATCAAAACCCGTTGCAAAACGGCCACAGCTTTATTTAATATACCAAGTTTAACTCAGTCCAACTCTGTTCCTTTTTTCCTCTGCGCTGTCCAGGGAAAACCGCCAAGCTGTGACAACACAAAGAACAACAAAACAAGACACAAGCCACAACACCAGAAACAGGGAGGGAGCGTGGGAAAACAGTCAGGAGCCCTCAACTGATCCTGCCAACTGGAAAGTCCCCTCCCTCTCCCTTTCTTTAAGAACCCCCAACTTTTGAAACAATTGTATCTTCCATGACCCAACCCACAATCTTGGGCAACAGTCATGCTCCCCCTTCCTTATTGTTCCAGGGGGAAACTGAATTTTTCACAGGTGGCTCATATCCTTTGGGACGGCCTGCCTAGCCCCGTCAGAGTCTCCCCTAGTCTTCAATCATTTAAGAAGTCCCTAAAAACCAATCTGTTCAGAAATGCTTATGGCCTCACATAGTAACTTCTATGTCACATATCTGTCTATTGCTCTCTCCTAAAGAGCCACACTCCACTCTCACCTCCAGTTCTGCTCCTTCTCCACCTTATTTGTTGTCCCCCTTGCTGCCCTATTGTGTTTTTATACCCCACCTAGTCTAGACTGTAAGCTTATTTTAACCTATTGTTCCTGTAACATTTTGTAAATGTCTCATTTATTGTTAAATCTCCCCCGCTCAGAATATTGTGAAGCACTGCAAAATAGTTGGCACTATATAAATACCAATGTTAATAATATTTATTCATTATATAGTTTATATTCATTTTTCTCACTTTTAGAAAAAATAACCAAATCCATAATTTATTTATTTTTTCATCATCCAACCACTGCAAACTTGACCAGTATAAAGTAACACACTCTGTATTTGATTTACCATCACAAAGATGGATGATGTCATTTCCCCTAATCAGCTCTAGACAGTCTTTGTTGAACATACAGCTGGGATTTCCCCACCTGGCACATACAGCAAATCCTTAAAACATATGGGTGCAGACAAAAGTGAGTGACAGAAAAATTTACATTTCAACAGCTGTGGTTCCACTGTATGAAAATATCTGTAATCGTTAACGAAGTGTGAAGGGATTTTATCATACAATGGCAATTCGTGTCTGGGGCTGTCATGCTGAGCATTGTCCCATCAACCATATCATTGTTTCAGAACAATGAAACCAAAAATTGCCAAACTGACCAGTATCAGAGACACCAACTTTGTTTTAGATGCCTAAATTGTTCATTCTACAAGATCTGTAGGAGACTTCTCCTGCTGCTGAGAATTGTCATCAGTGGTGTATATTGCTGTATTTTACCCGTGGTAGCTATTGCTAATGTCCAGCTGCTAGGAATGAGGGTAAAGCTTTGTGCTGTCTCAGTTTTTGGTACAGAGGTCCAACAACCACTGGTCTTAATTGATTAAAAACTGATTGATAGGTGCAGGACTATATAACACTTTATATTTGCTTGCATTTCTGCACGTTCAATGTGTTAATGATTTTTATTTACATTTTCTTTCATGCCTACTTCTTATTTATTTTTTGGGGGATGGCGATTTAGCATAACAAAAAAATTTATATTTATATAATATATATATAATGATCCAGCACACAAAATGTAATAATTTACTCTTTTTTATTTTATTTTTAACACCTGACAACCAAATTAATAGGGTATGGGATAGAGATCTTGGACTTGGCATCCCCTCTGGCGCTTTATAGGGAGGTATAGAGTGGAGGGGGCACACAAGCCAACCCATTTTTAAAATTTATATAGAAATATATGTATTATTTATAAATATAGCTAAATAAAAAAAGTTAGATTTATCGTGTAGCGCTTAAAAGCCCAACAAGTGATTTGAGAAATTTCACCTTCAAGAGTGTCCCAACGTTTATAAAAATTCAAATTTGAATACACTATAATCTTACATTTGTTATGTTTCTAGAGTGTTTTGGAGGTTGACATTTGATAGTAGTGTAGCCCTCCACTTGTAACCCTGCCCAGACTTTCTGTGGCTGTCCAATCACAGTCTTCCCAATGCAGTTCAATAAGAAGCATTTGCAAGGCAGGTGCTTTGAGCAATTTCTCCCTCTTGCGTTTAGCTCCACTGAGCTAACCAAACCAGGAAGTAATAGGCAGGGGGTGTAACTAAGTTCATTTATAAAAGTGCCAATTTATAATAAAATGTGCACTTTTTATGAAAGGAAAAAGAGGACACACTCTTGACACATAAAGCACTTCAGCTGTGTAGAGTATTTAATAACCTAATCAACTGAGTTTTAGCTTTTTATTATACATGCATTATATTGTACGTGTAAGATCGCCACCCAGTGGCTTCATTTTGCAAGTACCTGACAGCAATTCTGACCATCTTCCCATTATAAATGAATGTATCTTAAAGCTTGACCATAACATGAAAGTTATGGTAAAATGTTTTACCTGCTGTACCATATAATAAGAACAAAATATCCAAACAATAATATGCTCATCTATTTATTATTTTGTAATGATGCAAAAATTGAATTTGTACAATATTAAGTACACGTTCTATTAGTATTTAAAGTAGCGTTATGCAGTAACTAAATGAGCAAAGGGAAAGAATACTGCAATTATGTCATCAGCAGTGCATACCATTAGGTATATAAAAAACAAACAAACAATTAATACACAAATGGCTTAAGTAAATATACAGTTAATGTTTTCAAAATGAAACAATGTACACAAATTTTATAAAATAAATATTGAAATTTTACACACAAAACAATTGGTAAAGATATAATTAATTCCCCCATGTGCCTGTATTTGGCCTGTTATAGCTTTTTATACTGTGCCCCCCTCACAGCACTGATGGGTGTCAGGGGCAAACATTTTGCAAAGCAACAATAAAAATTACCGACAATGGCATACAACAGTAACAAATGTTGGGCATCATAGAAAAAGAAATGTCAACATGATGCTGGCCTTTAATTACAATAAGAAAATAAATTAATTATTGAGCTTGTGAAATAGTGATTATCATATAATTAATCTGTCCATGGGTTTATTCGCTAAAAAGCTCATAGTGGTTGATTTATAACAGACTTGTACAATTTAGACCATCGGTATATCCATTTTTTTAATATTTTTTTTTACAAATCTGCTTGACAAACAGTTTAGTGCCGGGGTGCCCAAAAGGTAGATCCTCATGTGTTGTAGAACTAAAACTCCCATGATGCTTTGCATGACATTGGAATTACAAAGCATCATGGAAGCTGTAGTTTTTGAAACATCCGGGGATATACCTTGTGGGCACCCACTGGTTTAGTGAATGAATCCCTAAATTTTTTTTAAAGAGCACATTTTGCATTGTGCTAGAACTTTAAAACTTGAAAAATAATACATAGAGAGAGAGAGGGGGAGGAAGGTATATTTGGTGGTAAGGGAACTACAAGTAAAAGCTCTGTAAGTAGTTCATACCCTAAACATTGAGTTGTGATAAGCTGATACATTCGTTCAGACTAAAATACCCACTCTGGACATACAGCTAAGAGTCCTCTTGTAAATGAGTGAATTCAGTACAAAGTATTGTTTAGTGAATTAATGTGAGATCTCACCCATTATTTCTAGGATTTAACAGAAGTGGTTTTTACGTTAAATAGTTAAAACAGGGATCCGTTGTCAATTGAAAACATTAAATGTAAGACAGCATAGCCAAGTTTGGAATCTGGTTGAATTGAGGGAAATTCTTACAATTAACAGATTTTGGCCTTCCTTTTTAAATGTATTTTTATTACATTTGCTGCTTAGTTTATAACGGCCTAGTGATCAGACTGCAGGCACAAGCATGAATTGTGTGACTTGTGTGATTTAAAGGAACATTCCAAGCACCATAACCATTACAGTGCACTAGCACCCCCAAATGAAACTAGTCAAACTGTTTTAGAACTGTTTGACGTTTGATCTGGGGTTTGCTGGGTGCCACAATCGGCCTCCTTGACAGTCGTAAGATCTCTACCTGAGCTAAGCCTGGATCAGAGAGTGGTTAGCTGACACACTCGGCCAACGAGCTGGGCCTGCGCCATAGCTCCGTAGAGCTAGCAGAAACTTCTGAGCAAGAGCTTACAGCTCTGAGGTGAGGACTGGCATACTTAAATTATTTTAGAATGGTCTGACTTCACTTGACTTCTTACAGTGGGAGCGCACCAAGGCACTACTGGAAACAGAACTACTACACCAGTGATGGCTAACCTTGACACCATAATTTGTTTCTGGACTACATTTCCCATGATGCTCAGCTAGCTTTTAGACCAGGCCTGTCCAACCTGTGGCCCTCCAGATGTTGCTGAACTACAACTCCCATGATTCTTTCTATGAAACAGAGGAATCACTGGAGTTGTAGTTCAGCAACATCTGGGGGGCCGTAGGTTGGACAGCCCTGTTTTAGACTCTCTAAAAGCTAGCTGAGCGTCATGGGAAATGTAGTCCAGGTTTAGCCATTAGTGTACTACACCATGCTGTAGTGATTATGGTGCCTATATTATCCTTTTAAATAATCCCCAATTGGGGGATCTGACCATCATACCATACAGTTTTATCATGTGGTATGTTTAATATTTTTTGTGTGCTGCTTTACCAATTGCAAAATACCTCCTGTAAAAAAAGTTCTTTACATATGCTGTATATCTGAGAATGCCCATTTATAGTCTATACCCTCAACATAACATGATGTGTGCATGGGGACTATGCAATGTATCCATAATTCATTACCCAATGTATGTGGAAGTGATCACAGCAGTGATCTAGTGGTCCCCATTTTATTAAATGCCTTCTTTTAACAATAACTTTTGTAGAGTGTTTTAAATGGGAAAAAATATCTACCTACAAATTACACCACGTTGGTCTCTTTTATGTATTTTATGCAGCAAGCATATTTCTACAGCCTAGGATTAAATAAAAAAAGCCACTCTGTAGTGCAGGAAAAAAAAAAACATTGCATTACAAGGCAGTGTGCAGGTATTTCTGTTCTGTTATAGGCATGCAAAGACACTTAGACATTACCTTTAAAGGGTTAATCATTGCATTAGCAGAGTGGTTGGTGCCCTCATAAAATCAGATGCATCATCATTAATCTGCTAGAAAAGCATACTGTTGCAATAGAACAATCGGCTATAATTTATATCTACATAAAAGTCTTCATGATTGTGACTTGCTACATAAATCTGAATAACCCATTGGGCAGGTAAAGAAATAGGCTGTACAGTACAAGGGGACGTTCTGTCCCTTAAGAGGGGGGCCAGGTTGACTGGTGGTCTGTTGTGGATCGCTGCTGACATTCTAAAAATGGAGTCATCACCATGGCAACCTATAATGATTGCTGTTTATTTTGGTGGCTCCAGTTTTCAAACTTTGATCTATTTTTTTTATACGTTTTCCCGAGCGTTCTTAGTGAGCTGCTGAGTTCAATGCAACTCTGTGTCCCAAGGTTCGTGCAAACCTGTTCTTGTTAGTCACTAGAAACCAAAATTGCTGCATTTAATATTGCAACCTCCCTAAATTCACTTTGAATTCAAGAGCATTGGATTTTATCTTGTAGTATATTACAGGATGAATTTTCTATTGCTATAGAAATAGATTTAACTAGAACCTGAAATTGCCTGACCCTATAGTGTTAAAACCACCATTTAGCCCCTAAATTAAAATCTTCCTTTTATTCCAGCCTGCTGGTGCTGGCTCTGCCCCTAGTCTGCCTTCTTGGCTGACATCAGAAGTGTTGAGCTTAGCTAATCACAATGCTTTCCCATAAGAATTGGCTGAGCTTGTCAAAGAGACAGATCAGGGGCAGAGCCAGCACAAGACAAACACAGCCCTGTGAAATCAGCATCATCTCATAGAGATACATTGAGGAAAGTTCAGTTTCTCCATGCAGAGGGTGGAGACACTGAATGTCAGTCCTGCACACTGTGCAGCACTTCCCAAGGAAGCACCTCTAGTAGACATCTAAGGAGTGGCCAGTGGAGTTATCACTAGGCTGTAATGTAATCATTGCTTTTCTCTGAAATAAAGCAATGTTTAGAGCAAAAAGCCAGAAGGGAATGGTTCACTCACCAGAACAAATACAATAAGCTCTAGTTGTTCTGCTGACTATAGTGTCCCTTTAATTAACAAATGGTTTATTATCATGGGATTAAAAGCTAGCATAATTTACATGCTGATGGCGGATGTCAAATATATTCAATAGCTTTTTTTTTTCTAACGCTGGGATATTGCATTGATTACCTAGCATATGCCATGTGTCATTAATAAATCTCCATGAGAAGCATCTGAGTGGGAAAAAGTCATTTTGTTTTTGTTTTGGGGGATAGGGGGAAGTTGTGTTTGTGTTAAGGGAACAATATAGGGTCAGTAACACAAATATGAATTCCTGACACTATATTGTTAAAACCCCCATCTAGCACCCCGGGCCACCTCTTGCTCCTCTAAATATAGCAAACTCTTACTTTTATTCCGGTCTGCTGCTGCTGACTGTGTCCCTGATCTGCCTGCTTCACTGATATCATCAGAAGTGGTGTTGTGAGCCAATCACAATGCTTTCGCGTAGGAAAGCATTGGGTTGCCTGAGACTGTCAAGGAGGCAGAGCCAGCAGATGCCAAACACAGCCTATTAGCATCTCCGCATAGAGATGCATTGAATCAATGTATCTCTTTGAGGAATATGCAGTGTCTTCATGCACAGGGTGGAGACACTGAATGGCAGTACTGCACACTAGGCAGGACTGCCTTAGGAAGGGCCTCTAGAAGCCATCTGAGCAGTGGCCAGTGAAGTTATCACTAGGCTGTAATGTACACACTGCATTTTCTCTGAAAACTGTCTACTGCAAAAGCCTGAAGGGAATGATTCTACTCACCAGAACAAATACAATTAGCTGTTGTTGTTCTTGTGACTAGTGTCCCTTTAAGTTTATGCATATGCTGTTGAGCATTACTCTGTGATGAATACATTGACAAAAGGCCTAGTTTAGAGCAATGATCATGGATTTAATCAATGGTTCATTTTCAAATTTAAAGTTGTTACTAGCAAACCCATCATCAACATTTGTATCAGTCTGTGTTCAAATCTTACTTCCTAAACTATACAGCACTTTTTTAATTTCTAGCATTGTTTACAGATTGTTTTGTGGTGGGATTAATATTTAAATTATTAATAACTTATTTTTATTAAAATATAAGAAAAAAAAACACATCAGGAAGAACAAATGTTTAATAAACGCCTGCTTATTATTTTTTTTTCCAATGAAGCACTCAAATCCAATCTATGAAAGATATTATATATATATAATATATATATATATATATATATATATATATATATATATATATATATATTTTTTTTTTTTTTTTTTTTTTTTTTTTTTTTTTTTTTTTTTTTTTTAAATGAAATTCTTAAATTCAAATGATATTTTTGAATGGTTAAGTGCAACTGCATTAACTGTATAAGCTAGATAAATGTTATGTTGAAAGCTTTTTTTTATGTACATATTGATAATTGTTGCTCAGAGCACATTTTATTTTGTTAATCAATATTACCCTTAAATAAAGTGACCCTCGACGTGTTAAATTATATTACAATATTAAAATTACTTTACAAAGCATTTTCAATAAAAAACAATTAAAAAAACAATAATAATTTAAGCATTGGCATTCACCATATCTCATAATACTGTTCTAGAACATCGTAGAGATCAATGGGATATAATGGCGCCGTATAAATATGACAAACTATCATGTCCGTATCTTATATTTAGCATCTAGGGTCCAACAAAGTCTACTGCACAGAATGCATTCCATAACATGAACCACGTACTTAGACAATTTTTGCAACATATCGGTAACAAAGCAATACATTGGTGTTCTTTAACGTTTGATACGACGTTTGTGCCAGTGACACAGCATTCTCTGCCATTAGACCTCTTTTATTTAAACTACGTACTAAAACTTTTCAAGAAAAAAGGCCAGCACCATGTGTTATCAACTTTCATACACGCTTAGAAGACTAGAAATAACCATTTCTTTTTCTCTCCAACCATGTTTCTTAGTAAACATTGCTCTAATTACAGTTTTAAATATTCAATTACCAACTTCTATTTCATATTCAAATAGAAGAGTAATGGTGTTTAAAATTAATAGAAAAAAAATGGGTTTGTCGTTGTTTGTTCTTCATAATATCTAGACTCTTTCGATGAGGTATACTGTAAGTCCAATTTCTTTCAGTCTTCTCATTTATCTAGTTAGGAAGAGAATATGTGGCAGTTATAGTTTGCCAAAACTCCGACCTCCGTTTAGTGAGTTTTGGCTAGTCAATACTTTTCTCAAAGTGCAAAAAAAAAGAGAAATCTGTCCTGTACAGGTTCCTAGAAAGTCCATACCCTTGAAAAAGTCACTTGTTACGGAGATATAATCCAGTACCCGTCACTCAAATATTTTTGCATGAGCCAACACAAGATGCAAACATGTATCCCGTCTTCTTCGGTGCAGTGTTCTTGAACGTCTGTATGGGGCAGCAAACGTCCGCATCTGCTGTGCCAAAAAACGGTAAATGTCCAAGAAAATCATGCTAGTTTATCTAAAGTGAATTACATTTCCTTGAATAACTGTTGACCGTTCACTTATTTCCATATATTTACACCTCTCTGAAAGAAAGAAAACAGGATATATCAGCATAGTTTTCTTCATGTTACTATTTTGCCTGAGCATCAGAGATACATTTGAAAGGTAAGAGTAAGCATTATGAGATAGTAACTGCTGTTTTTGTATACAGGACACTGTATTCTATTTGTGTGTCTAGCATCAAACACTTATCTCCTATAAGCCTAATTATTAATTTTTAAGCTTAAAAAGATCAGAATTCTTTTTTAATATAATAATCCTTTAATCAAGTCTGGAACATTTTTTTTTTTTTTTTTTAGAAATGAAGCAGATGTAAAAAAATGACAAAAACTGAGTATACAACAGGATTCTTCAGGCATATACATGCACCTTGGCTCTGACAATGTTTGAAAACACAGTCTCTCTGGTCTTCCCTGCTTTACCCTTGCACAGAAGCAGAGAAGACCAGAGAGACTGTTTTCAAACACTGTCCTCACTGCCCCCCCAGCTGAAAAAAAACAAATTAAACGCTCATATGCACCTCGGCACCTACTACTTTGTTATGCCAAATATGCATAGAAATAAAATGCCCCAGGACCCACACCTTTCCTATGCCAAATATCCTCCTCCAGGACTCACTCATTCCCTATACCAAATACCTCCCGCTCCCACCAATTCCTGCCTCTACTCTTTGTCCAATATTTAATGAAAAGTCATTGCAATTATTTCAACTCAAACATACAGTTATTTTTCTATATATGTATAATTTTTTTTAAATTTAAATAAATAATCTTTAGATCCCTCCGTCCCTTCTTACCTTTGCCGGGGAGGAGGGATCTTTCTCAATCCCTGGTGGTCCCAGTGGTGAGAGTTCACTCTAGCGAGATCCGGAGCATTGCCACTGTGACCGCGGCAACGCTCTGTGCTTGCGAGAGAAGGACCCAGAGGAGCTGCAGGCTGAGCTCCCGGGTCCTCTCTCCCTCCCTGCCGGCTGCCAGCAAAGTGCCTGTGGATCAGTGAGGTCTCCCGTGAAGGCACATAGCAGGACTGGCGCTTGGATACCACCAGGGCCGGACTGGCCCACCGGGATACCGAGAAATTTCCCGGTGGGCCATCGGCACCTGGGTCTGCTGGCGGCCGCTGGGGAGGTCTTTTGGGGGCCGCGTACTGGCGGCCGCTGGGGAGGTCTTCTGGGGGCTTCTGGCGGCCGATAGGGAGGTCTTCTGGGGGACTTGTACTGGCGGCCGCTGGGGGAGCTGCGCTGGCTCTGCTCCCCAGCCCACAGCTGAATGAGACCGGTGCCGGAATATGACGTCTTATTCCGGCGCTGGTCTCATTCAGCAGTGCGCGAGGGCGGGAGAGCAGAGCCAGCGCAGCTCCCCCAGCATCCGCCAGAAGCCCCCAGAAGACCTCCCCAGCGGCCGCCAGCAGAACTCCCCCTAGCAGGTATTAGTAATGTGTCTGTCTGTGTTATGGTGTGTGTCATGGTGTCTGTCTGTGTTATGGTGTGTGTCATGGTGTCTGTATGTATGTATGTATGGTGTGTCTGTCTGTATGTATGGTGTGTGTGTGTCTGTCCGTCATGGGGTGTGTGTCTGTCCGTCTGTCCGTCATGGGGTGTGTGTCTGTCCGTCATGGGGTGTGTGTGTGTGTATCTGTCTGTCCGTCATGGGGCGTGCTGGTGTCCCCTCGACTGGCCCTGCCTCTATAGCTGAGATCATCAAGCTTGATGATCTCAGCCAATCCAATGCTTTGCCATAGGATTGGCTGCAAAACGCCACTCCAATCAGCATATCCTCATAGAGATGCATTGAATCAATGTATCTCTATGGGGAACGTTCAGCACCTACAGAGTGTGGAGGCCCTGAATGTAGGTGCACTAACACAGGAAGCACTCTAGTGACCGTCTGAGTGACTGTCACTAGCAGTGTCACTTTGAAGCAATGTAAACACTGCCTTTTCTCTGAAAAGTCAGTGTTTACGTTGAAAAGCCTGTAGGGACATGCTATAGACACCAGTACCACCACAATAAGCTGTGTGTGCGCATCTGCTAGTGAGTGAGCTTGCTTGCATGCGTGTGCCTGCTAGTGAGTGAGCTTGTGTTTTTATGTCATTTAGCTGATGTATATCAGTAAGATTGTTTGTCTATGAGGCAGTGTATCAATGAGCTTCTGTGTGTCATAGAGATGTCAGTGAAATTGCCTGTGTCTGCATGTGAGTATGCTTACTGTATAATTAAACGTTTTACCCTGAAAGGACCAATATTTTATATTAGAAAAAAAAATAAAAAAAAAAAATATATATATATATATATTTTTTTTTTTTTAATTTTTAAAAAAAAAAAAAAATAATAATTTGTGCCAGCCCCATAAGTCACTGCACCATATATATTCTCGCGTGTAATATGTAAGGCTATGTCTTGCCAGGACAGATGATTGAGATATTATATATATATATATATATATATATATATATATATATATATATATATATATATATATATATATATATATATATATATATATATATATATAATATCTCAATCATCTGTCCTGGCAAGACATAGCCTTACATATTACACGCGAGAATATATATGGTGCAGTGACTTATGGGGCTGGCACAAATTATTTTTTTTTTTTTTTCCAGGGCTGCTTTGTATCCCCAGTCCGGCCCTGGATACCACCAGCCCTGCAGGGGTGAGCATCGCCTCTCGGGGGGAGGAACAATTGCCCCGTTGCCCCCCCCCCTCCCCTGGATCAGCCACTGCAGGACCACTAACTGGAACAGCATTCCTGCTGTGTAAAAAGTGCAGATATGCTCCTCCCACACATTCCTGCAGGACTAGAGCCCTGGTCCTCACCAAGATGCATGGATAAGGCTGAAGGATCCTGTCATATACTAAAAGTAGAGATTTTTTTTTTCTCAGATTTTTTTTTTTAATGAAGTATATCAGGAGTGAAAATTATACTGATGGCTAAGCAGTTTCAGAACCTCCATAGAAAATACTGTTAGGAATGTGCTTAATTAAACATTGATGAGCTTAGGATACAAGTATGTGGTAAATACAAAATTTAGGGCGTGTGGCAAATCATTTAGCTAAAACCATCTGGCTGCATTCGGGGCCATTTGGACTGCAAAATCCAGATGGCTAAAATACGGACCGAATGCAGCAAATCCAGGCTCAGATTCAACTCTGAGTTAAAAAAAAAATTATGAGGTGGCTGGCCAGTACTTTGTAACCAGCTGTTACATTAAAGAGATACTATAGTCATCAGAAGTACTACAGCTTAATGTAGTTGTGTTGGTGAGTACTGTCTGTCCTGTCCCTGCAGGCTTTTTGCAGTGAACACTGCCTTATCAGAGAAAATGCAGCGTTTACATTAACCCCTTAAGGACACATGACAAGTTTGGTCCTTAAGGGGTTAAAGCCTATGGGCACCTGCAGTGGTTACTCCTCAGGTGGTCACTGGAGAGGCTTCCTGGGGCAGTCCTGCACACTGTGCAGCACTGATGTTCACCATCTCCACGGTCTGCATGGAGACGATGAACGTTCCTCATAGAGGTGCATTGATTCAATGCACCTCTATGAGGAGATGTTGATTGGCCAGACCGGCGTTTGGCCCCACGCCACCTCTTTGATCTCCGCTAAACTCACAGGGAAAGCATTAATCAATCAATTCTGATTAAGATTAAGGTAAGCTTGAACCCTTGCTAAGAGGGGTCAAGACACCTTAATGGTGGTTTTAACACTATTGGGTCAGGAAAACTAAACTAATCACTAAAAACAAATGTAAAAATTAAAATAACCAAATAAAAATCCTATGTATGTCAATAAGACCCCATAATACTATAATGGGGGTATTGTACCTCCATAGGACCCATAGAAAGGCACCATCCCATGGTTTATTAGGCAATCAATCAGAGCACTCCTGGTCAGATTGCAAAGCATGGGAAATTTCCCCACACTTTGCAATACCTGTTTTAGTTGCGATTTCCCTTTTTAATTTTAATGAGTGAAATTATTGATTTTATTGGGGAAGGGGGTGCATATATCTTTTTTTTTTACAGGTATTAGATTTTTTTTAGCCCCTTCCTCACTATTAGAGTGAAGGGGTGACTAGGGGACCACAAGCCACTGCAGGGGGGAACTTACTATTATTTGGCAGAGTGGATAATGGAATATTCAACCCCCACATTTTGAAATAAATTGTAGGCCCAACCTGCGGGCCTGGGGAGAGGACCATAGATACCCCTTATTGTTAATATTAGGGCCCCAACCCACAGGCATTGGTGGGGTTCAGGGAGGTGATACTAGGAAAATGTGAACCACAAAGTATATAATTGCCAAAATGGATACCACACTCTCCTGGATCCCAGGGTGCATCCGGGCCTGAGGATGGCCAATCCTCACAATGCAATTTGCAAAAATGTAATGATGGTCCAGGCACTCAAGGTAAATCCAGTGAGCATGAAAAGCAATGTTTCAGCCATGTACTGGTCTAAAACGTTGCTTTTCAGCTGCTTCAATAAATCTGCTCACTGGATTTACCTTGAGTGCCTGGACCATCATTACGTTTCTGCAGACCACAAATAATATGACCTCTCCATTAGGGGAAAAAAATGGATAATACCTAAATCCTAGCACTGTGATTCACAAACCCTGTCCTACAGGCCTGGTTTTAGTAATATAGCCAATGGAACAGAAATGGAGCACTTGAAGATTGAATTAGCAGCCACTATTCTAGGTCGGTGCTAAGACTGCTATAAAAAAACAAAAACTTTTATATACATGATAACTCGAACACTCCACATAGCCAAGAATTCTATCTCTGTGGGCATGGTTAAGAGGCATGCAATCTGTTACGGCAAGAGAAATGTGGAAACTGAATCTTTAAGTATCAGAGTGGTGAGTGTTGAGGTGGGTGAAAATATTAAATATGCAAATAAAACTTTTGGATAGATGAAGACATTTAAAAGCATTATGCTAAAATACTTACGATGCTGTTAGTGTTGAATTAAGCAGCAAAGTGGTTCTAATTTTGTACAGCTGGGCCAAAGTAAGTTTTCTGTGTTGGACTGACTGTGAGTCTGACATTGTCCGCCTGGCTGTGCCAGGTGTATTATTACTGTCCAAGTCTCTCTCATTTTCCTCATCACCAAACTGTTCAGAGAAAGAATGACTGTACACATGTGTTCTAGGACCAACGTCAAATTCTTCTAATGGCTGAAGTGGGTCATCCTCCAACAAAGGATTATGTATTTTTCCCTCCTCCCTCTCTAAACCAGCAGCTCTTGAAAATCCACTGTCTTCAGATTCTGAAAGTTCAGATGAGCTGCTACTACAGCTACTCAAATTGACCACTTTAATGCAATCAGACTGAGATCTGTGTTTAGTTACAAGTTCCTTGTCTTGGTTTAATGAAGGTTCCACCATGCTAGTCCTTTGACGAGTATATTGTTCTCTATCATCATTATAGCCATCAGAATTTAAAAAACTATCTGGTCTTCCAGACATAAAAAGTTCACTCAGGCTTTTACTTTGAGTAAGAGGAGTTTCTTCATCAGAGTGATGTGAAGGACTAGATGATATTAGATGAAGGATATTGGCTTCTGACTTGGACTTTAAAACTTTAGTCTTACATGGTAGGAGTTGGACAGGAGTTCGCCTCCGAAGCTTTGGGGAAGTCGAACGATGGGAACTAGTAGATTCCCTCTCCTCTTCGGCTAGTTCATGTTGTTGACGTTCCACAAACTCTTCAAGCGACGTTGGTGAGAGTGTGCCATATGCACTGTCTATGGAGGAAGACCTACACCCATTTGGTTCCAGTTTTAGGTAGTTTGAATCTACAGCTGGATTTGGTTCAGGAGGCTCCATACTTTCAAACATGTCTCTTGTTGGTGTTATGGATGAAGCTGTAGTACTACTTGATGTTTCATCTGATTGAGAAACAAAGGGTCCTTTTTCATTCTCAGGAGAAGAAAGATCTTCACTGGCATCGATGACCACAACTGAGATTGTTTCTGTTGAGCTGTCTGACTGACTACAAAATACAACAAATGAACACATACAGTGATTAAAAATAAATAATGGCATTAACAAATCAGCATAAAAATCTCACATTATGATGAAAAGAGAAAAACTAATCTCACTATACCTAAATAATATAATCAAGGCTTAGCATATTAAATCTTATGCTACTAGCCATGTCTTTTAATTTAATAGCCACTGCAATTCTAAAAAGGTCCATGCCACCATCACTATGGGTGAATTTCTTCTGGCTAGGGTTAAGGTTTCACCCCCAAATGAATAGTGGTAATTTTTGAGCCCTGATCTAATGCCGACCATAAACACACACTTTTGGATTACCTTTGTACCATGTCATTACTGCTCCTACGTATAATGGTGGGGGAACTCGCTGCAGATGTCCCACTTTCCATATCTTCCTCCTCTTCTTGAAGATGAGTCATCTGTTGCTGGTTTTGTTGATGTTCCTGACGCAATTTTTGCAAAAGGTTCTAGAAGGTTATAATAGAAATTAAATTATTAAATGGAAACTCAAGGCTCAAGATGACCTCCCTTTTAATTACAAAGATAATGAAGAAAAATATACAATAAATATAATAAAGTTTAAAAAAATGATGCAATTTCCATGACGTGCACACGGTTCTCAAAGGAGCACTCCGGCAGATCCTTTGCAAAGATGTAAATCTGTTTCCTTCAATATTAGAGGGTTTTCGAAGCAACATGACCACTTCAGTGATATGATATGCAAATATTCGAGCCTTAAACATGATTCGCCACTGTATGCCGGGGTTAATTTCTACTCTCCAATGGCACGTGGAAACTGGTTTAAACATCCAAAAGTGTCTAATATAACTAGAATATATCCTGAAAGATGGACAGGTCAGTCTTTTGTGCTTTCTCAATGGGTTTACAAGTTTTATATGGTTTTAAATAAGGAAATACTAGCAGTTGTTTTGTGTGCACGTGTGTGAATGAATAGATTAACAGCAACTATTTACCTGTGCATTGTAAAGAGCTTCAATCCACCCTCTACACAATGATTGGCCACTTGCTTGAAAGGTATAGGCAGCAACTGCACTTCGGAATTCATTCAGATAGATCAGCAAGAAAGATCCTGTAATGCATTTGAAAGAAGGGATAAGCAAGTTCTCACGTTAAAAGATGTGACATACATTAATAAAACCCAGCTTCCTAGTCTTGTAGAGTTTGAGAAAATAAACCATGTTTTTGTGTATTAGTCTAATTAAACAGAGCAGCTTCTAACAAAATCAATTTAAATGGAAACCAGAATAGTCACCAGAACAACCACAGCTTAATGAAGTTGTTCTGGTGTGTATAGTCAGTGCCTGCAGGCTTTTAAATGTAAACACTGCCTTATCAGAGAAAAGGCAGTGTTTACTTTCACGCCTAGGGAGAGCTCTAGATGGTCACTGCATGGAAACTCTGAACGTTCCTCATTATTATTTTATTATTTATATAGCACCATCAGATTCCGTAGCGCTGTACAATAGAGATGCATTGATACAACGCATCTCTGTGAGAAGATG